AATGTGTAGTATGTATTTAAAATGAATGGCATGTAGTATGAATTTAAAGTGAATAGCGTGTAGTAGGTAGTTCAAGTGAATGACGTGCAGTGTGTATTTTAAGTGAATGACGTGTAGTATGTATTTAAAGTGAATAGCGTGTAGTATGTATTTAAAATGAATAGTGTGTAGTATGTATTTAAAGTGAATAGCGTGTAGTATGTATTTAAAGTGAATAGCGTATAGTATTTATTTAAAGTGAATAGCGTGTAGTATGTATTAACGTGAATAGCGTATAGTATGTATTTAAAGTGAATAGCGTGTAGTATGTATTAAAGCGAATAGCGTGTAGTATGTATTTAAAGTGAATAGCGTGTAGTATGTATTTAAAGTGAATAGTGTGAAGTATGTATTTAAAGTGAATAGCGTGTAGTATGTATTAAAGTGAATAGCGTGTAGTATGTAGTATGTATTAAAGTGAATAGCATGTAGTGTGTATTTAAAATGAATAGCGTGTAGTATGTATTTAAAGTGAATAGTGTGTAGTATGTATTTAAAATGATTAGCTTGTAGTATGTATTTAAAGTGAATAGCGTGAAGTATGTATTTAAAGTAGGTAGCATGTAGTATGTATTTAAAATGAATAGTGTGTAGTATGTATTTAAAGTGAATAGCGAGTAGTATGTATTTAAAGTGAATAGCGTGTAGTATGTATTTAAAGTGAATAGCGTGTAGTATGTATTTAAAGTGAATAGCATGTAGTGTGTATTTAAAATGAATAGTGTGTAGTATGTATTTAAAATGAATAGCGTGTAGAATTATTCAAAGTGAATAGCGTGTAGCATGTATTTAAAATGAATTGAGTGTAGTATATATTTAAAATGAAAAGCATGTAGTATGCATATAAAGTGAATAGCGTGTAGTATGTTTTTAAAATGAATTGTGTGTAGTATGTATTTAAAATGAATAATGTGTAGTATGTATTTAAAATGAATGGCATGTAGTATGAATTTAAAGTGAATAGCGTGTAGTAGGTATTTCAAGTGAATGACGTGCAGTGTGTATTTTAAGTGAATGACGTGTAGTATGTATTTAAAGTGAATAGCGTGTAGTATGTATTAAAGTGAATAGTGTGAAGTATGCATTTAAAGTAAATAGCGTGTAGTATGTATTTAAAGTGAATAGCGTGTAGTATGTATTTAAAGTGAATAGCGTATAGTATTTATTTAAAGTGAATAGCGTGTAGTATGTATTAAAGCGAATAGCGTGTAGTATATATTTAAAGTTAATAGCGTGTAGTATGTATGTAAAGTGAATAGTGTGAAGTATGTATTTAAAGTGAATAGCGTGAAGTATGTATTTAAAGTGAGTAGCCTGTAGTATGTATTTAAAATGAATAGTGTGTAGTATGTGTTTAAAGTGAATAGCGTGTAGTATGTATTTAAAGTGAATAGCGTGTAGTATGTATTTAAAGTGAATATCGTGTAGTATGTATTTAAAGTGAATAGAATGTAGTGTGTATTTAAAATGAATAGTGTGTAGTA